TTATTGAGATAAAAAAAGGCATGAATTGGCATGCTTAATGGTAGTAGGAGCAGCATGGAACCTGGCAATCCAATTTCTATGTCTGTAGGAAGGAAACATCACCCCAGTCAATTTTTAAAAAAATATATTTTATTTTATTTTTACAGAGAGGAAGGGAGAGGGATAGTGAGTTAGAAACATCGATGAGAGAGAAACATCGATCAGCTGCCTCCTGCACGCCCCCAACTGGGGATGTGCCCGCAGCCCAGGTCCAGGCCCTTGACCGGAATCGAACCCGGGACCCTTTAGTCCGCAGGCCGACGCTCTATCCACTGAACCACACCGGTTTGGCATGTATTATTTTTATTATTTATCCTCTTCACCTATTAACATGGGATGTGTTTTAACTGGTCATCCGTTTCTATTTTATATGCAATGTCCTGTTTCTATTTATCTTTTTTTTTAAATATATTTTTATTGATTTCAGAGAGGAAGGGAGAGGGAGAGAGGAGAGAGAAACATCCATGATGAGCGAGAATCATGGATCGGCCGCCTCCCGCGCGCCCCCTACTGGGGACCGAGCGCATAACACGGGCATGTGGCCCTTGACCGGGAATCGAACCCGGGACCTCCTGGTTCTCGTGGGTCGAGCCTCAACCACTGAGCCACACCGGCCGGGCATCGCTGGCCGTTTCACACTCTGTTTCTGTGAACGTCCACCCTCTCGAACCCTAGGAGCCCTCGCAGGGGCACCCCCCGACCCCCCACCCACCAACCCAGGGCTGTTGGCCCGCGCGCCCCCTACTGGGGACCGAGCGCATAACACGGGCATGTGGCCCTTGACCGGGAATCGAACCCGGGACCTCCCAGTCCGCAGGCGGAGGCTCTACCCACTGAGCCACACCAGCCAGGGGTGGGGATTCTCGCGCCAAACCCGCTGCTAAGTGTTCAAGGTGCCACCTTTCAGGGAGGAAGATCGGGTAGCTACAGCAGGCTTCTGGCTTTTGAGCCAGGTAGATAATATTACTTTTTTTAAAAAAAATAAGCTTAAAAGTAAACAAATAAAAGAA